AACTACACAGGAAGCAGGAAATAGCATAAAAGGATGCAACATTTCACTTTCAAGCGATTTCAGAAAATTGCCTTAAAATTTACAGAGTTTCAACAATATGGTTCCATGACTCAGGTGTTAAAATCCATTGTAACAAAACCTTTTGTATTTTCTCCATAAAAATAAAGGAATATAGGGACGCTTCAGTTATCCATGTCAACAACATATGTCTGTTGAATAGCAGGATACTAGGATTCCTCTAGGACAGTATAGTAGCAAAGTTGCAAATCTCAATGCGGAAGGTGGAGAAAAGAAGGACAGAAGTAAAACTACTATTGCTTTAACATATTTTAGTGAGAACAAGAAGTCAGGAATCTCATATGGATGTTTGTACAATCATGCTACAAAGATTACACCTTCAGGAAATTACCACAACGGGACTGTGAATGGGAAGAGCAGAAGGGAAAACACACATAAAAGTAAACATCTACTTGACTACTGGTAACAAAAATGCTTCGGCGCAACAGATTTAAATTACATTGTACACTGCTAGCAACCCAAGTTTTAAAAAAACAGGTTCCTTTTAAACAGTAGATTTCATAATTCATATTTACCAGGTTGTCAGAAAAAGCAACGCATTGCTTCTCAGCTGTACTAGGACTCTTTCATTCACTGGCTCTTGCATTTCTGCCTTCTCAGATTTGACAGACCGATCCTCATCGCTAACAGAGAAGACAGTCGCACGTCTCGCAGACAGGAAAGCAAACTCCAAGGGATGAGAGCTAGAACATGGGCTTGCAGCTACTCATGGCCACAATATTCTCTTCAGGGAATAGCTTCTTTCTTAATTTTGTTAGATTTTCTGAAAAGAAATAAATTCAATGGAAGCCACATGGATTTTTTTTTTTTTTAATGATTATGGAAATTCTAGCTTGATGCTGAGTATCAGAGGTTGCGCAAAAGGCCACCGAGATACCTGGCAGACAAAGTTACCATCTGAAATCAGGCAGCAGCAAGTCTCAAAAGTGCCTTTGACTCCGGAGTCTGCCATGAATCGCTGGATGAGCATTCAGTGACTGATACTTGGCTGCATTTTTACTGTTTTTTAGTGCTGGTGAAAGGTGCTGATCAAAGTTCTGGAGATCTCTTCCTAAAAAAAGAGTCAGGGGCATGTTAATCTCCTCTCAATATCCTTGAGAAAGAAACTTTCCTGACTTCTTGGATAAGCAGGGCAAAATACAGCTGCATCTCTAAGTATGAGAAAGTGCTCTTTAAGTGTCACATAGAATTCATTCCCTGGATTCTCTGCAAAGATCAAGAGAAACGGGGACGTAGTTGACAGTACCTTGCCCATTCCAGGACTGATTTTGGACACCACCTTTTAATGTCCGCTGTACAATACGTACAGGCCTGCTCGGGAATATTGGTCTAACAGTAGAAAGCAGGAAACACATATCAGTGAGCTTGTGTTAACTGACAGGATAACACAGTGTGGATCTGAGGTGGTAGGACCATTTTGCTAAGCAGCAGTAGGAAGACTAAGCCCTTCAGTACTTTGATGGAACTGTAACTGCGCGATCTGTTGAGCCAAGAGCATACCCTTGCTGCTGTTCATCCTTTTCAGTATGTCCTGAAAGAGTTAAAACACCACTAACATAAGGAACTGACAAGTTCAAGAGTTCAGGCTGTGTGAGTTTACAGACAGTGGCTGCATTTCTTACAGCACAAAAATAAGTTATCCAAAGAATCCAGCTACATCTTCACACAACCAGCCTGCCACTACTGCCAGCATGCTCACACAGTAGGAAAGACGATTCCCAAACACCGTCAAGTTCCCGAGCAAAGCAAAAGGGACTCTCTGGGTGACAAGCAGCACTATATTATTTGAGTTTGCCTTGCAAGATTGTGTCAGTCTCAGAATACAGAGCTTCAGTTTAACAGTATTGTCAAGTGCTCATGTTTTTGGTGTTCAGCAGAAACAGATGAGGGTGCACTAGATACTGACAACCGTAGCCAGTTTAGGATTTCAGTGACTATTGTATTTAACATTTTATACAAAACACAGACAAATGCCTACCATAAAAGGGCTGAGGAAAAGATGACTCTCCTCCTAATCTTACCAAAAATATACTTGTTAAAGTGCCATCTGCAAGAGAACAAAACAGACACACTCAGCTTTCTTCATTTACATTTAAAACAAGCACAAGAGCATCTGTGAATTCCAATACATCGGACTCCTCCCCTCACCTAGTCTCTGGCAGGCAGTGATCTACAGTCAAGCCTGATGCAGCTTTCTCATTGCAACACCAGGCAAAAATAGATCTTTTTAGTATTATCCAGAACATTCAGGAGAGTAATTACAGTTAAGTTTTGAAAGGATCATTAACTTTGACTTATGAGAGGCAATGTCTCCCCCGTTAAGTACATTTCAAGGTTCCATAAGGAACAACCTGTATTATCAGTCTCCTTTTGTATCATTCTTTGAAACCGCTGTTTTCTTTCTAAATAGATTGTCAAAGCACTCAAATCCTTGCCTTTTAAATCCCTGCACACAGAAGTACAATTTCCACAGATGCAACCTACCGCAGCCCATTTCATTTAGACAATTAACGAAGATGGTGTGCTATGCACTAATTTGACATCCAACTTCTTTCCTGTAGGTTTTCACCTCGCTAATGAGATTTATGTGACCAAGATCTCCTAGTTGAGAGCCAACATACTAGCAACAAGTCATCCTCCTAATAGTAGGAATCTATGGAAAGCCTGGTTTAAACAGAACATAACTAAACAATAGCTTAGTACCTTGAATTAATCGACTGGAGAAGTGGTACAGAACTACTTAAGTCAGAGAAAAATCTTTCTGTCCCACAATCAGTCTTGCCTGTACCAGCAATAGCATGTGATTTTCTGCTTTTCTAACCTCGCTGATGCTCAGATTTTACCCTTAATGTTACTTTATACTCAAGGGATAGGTCTTCGAAAGCAGTTGCTCTGCATCCTCTGCTTGTGCAGTAAGCACAAAATAATTGAGATAAAGTATTAAAGTATTTGTTTTCATGAACTTTGGAAAAAAATAATGCTTCTGGGGGCTTTACACCCAACATAACTGAATGTTACGTGGGTGAAATACAGTAAACTGTATCTTCTGATCCACAGGCTACAGTGACAAGACTCAGGGTTTTATTTTATCTTGCAAATAAACTTGAACCAGCAAGTAGACAGTTAGCTCCCTGCCACTGTGTCAGCAGGTGCTGGCAAAAGGGCACCACAGTCTCTCACTTCCTTCTCTATCTGTAAGTGCCATTTGCACTACAGAACATCTCACCCATGAGGATTTTTGTGTCTTTTCAGTCATTAACCTTTCAAGTGACTTCTTTGAAAAGAGGCTATTTTAAGCAGCATTTCCTTGTTCCAAACCAGCCTCTAGTGATTTCAAATGTAATTTTATATGAAGAATGACAATAGATTATGCGCAGAGCAATATGCTGTAGATCCAGAAGGTACCCCAACTGGCTAAACAAACAACATACAAGCTTTACTTAGAACCCACTGGAACCTGCAAGATTCCTTCACTTGCCTTTGACGAGTTTGGAACGAGCATCCAATTTCACAAATGAGCTTCAAGCAGTTTTATGGATGGAAGGACTGACACTGTATTCTCTTCAGGTTCGTAACAGGATTGTTCTCTAACAGCTTTCCGAAAGCTACCTCGTTATTCAGACTAATAGCCCCTTTATACATGTTCTCTTCTCATCATCTTAGCATAATAGATCATATTCCTCTAAGAATAAACTGCATTTGCCATTTAGTATAGCCTATGGAGTCTTTTAGTGACTTCACTTTCAACTAAATTTTCTTATGTCTTTTTTAAAGCACAGTCCTACAGTTGCAGATGCATTAAGCTAAGCAACAGATGCACTCATCTTTTACTCAAGCCATCTATATAAGAATGAGACATTGAAGCATAAAGGGTACTACAGAAAGTACTAATATTACAGGTAGTTCCCTCTCAGTAACACAGCATATTATGCCTACCGTTTGTAATTAAACAGTACATGACAAGCCCGTGTACATATTTTTATACGAGTATGTAAAGCTGTGAATGCCATTATATGCTTCGGATAAGAAAATCCTAATTTTCACTTCATTCTGCACAAGTATTTTCCAGTTTAAGATGAAATGTCATTGTAAAAAGTGGTAACCTGATTGTTTGGCTAACACTGTTCCGATATCTAGATCAAATCTGTCTGTGGCACACACCACTCTCAGCACTGCTGCTAATCAGAAAAACCGACCTTCAAGTCCAATCAAGCTTTCTGTCAGAAACCCCACCACTGAACACAGAATGTCATTGACAAAACATGAGCTTGAACTGCGTTAGAGTCTCTTGGTTCTCCGATACTAACAGGGGTGATGGAATAAAGCTGTCCCTAATGAATTCCTATCAAATTCACAAGGCAGTGCTTTTCTAAGCTCCATGTTGAGAAGCAGCCTGTAGAAGAATATTTCTGTATTTCCAGAATGACAAAACTTTTCAAATTCTGTTCTGTATTTGACAGCACTTTCAGTGTCGGCTTCACGTTTCACAGCAATCGCTTTTCCCAACTTGCCTTTCCTGCATAAACTGACAAGATTCAAGTTTGCCAGCGTCCTACTATTTATAATGCTGCCTCCAGTTGCAGGTGAATACTCATTAGGTGGAAAGACAATTTTGATAGTTCCTGACATTTACATCAAAACTCAGCTGGTATACCCTTACCGACCAGCCATGGCTGTCATGTCTTCATTGGCAGAGTACTGCAGAGCATTCATCCGAGTAGCTATGTTATCAAGGAAGATTTTTATCTTGCCTAATCCACTCGGCTTTGATTGAAAAGTATTACTGTGGAGCAATCCACTATCCAAAACAGAAACAGAAGCCCTTGGGCACATCCCCATAAGATATGAGGATGACAAGCACCAAACCTTAGCCTGTGGCACAGTTTCTCTCCTTTTAAACCCATCGTTGTATGTTACATTAGGGAATAATTTCTTTCAGAGAAACAGCTTTCATCTCGATAGTGAACCAGCTCTTCCAAGTCATCTCGCTCATTCAACAAGACCTGACAGTACAAAGCGAATACACTTTGGGAAAAAGATTGCTGTGCACTCCTTTCAAGAACTCCCAGGAACACGGGCCAAACGAAAAGAAGCTCCAAGGTACAGGCTAACCACAAAAATCTTGCTCACATTATTTGCCCATCAAGCAAGCTACAAAGTGTGAAACCATTTTATTTTGGTTTAGATAGTAAGTCTTCTGAGGGGAGATCTTTTGATTGGAAGTGTCAATCCCAAGTCCATTACAAATCACATTTTTTCAGGAGTCCTTTACCTCCTGGGAGCTTAAGTTATGCACTATCTTCTTTCTGAAACCTATTACCGTTCTGTTAGCTAACACAACTGCAAGATAAACACAAATTCAGTTATAATTTAAAAATAAGGCCTACCATAGCAACAACTGCCTCTAGCATCAGAAAAGTGTAAAGAAATTGTGCAACAAGTACTTGTACTTCACAGCACCAGAAAATTCTGCCCAGGTAACCAGGTATAGAGAGCCAAGGCAACAGTTAATTCTGGCAGGCCTTTACTGCCAGGGAGCCTGCAGTGTTATTGTGATCTGTTTCAACGAATAGATCTTGCTTTGGGCATCTGGAAGTGGACCACATATCAAAAGTAAGAATTAGGGAGAAAAACCTTACTCAGTAGAAAGTTTGCCCAATATATAAAAACCATACAAACGTTTAAACAGTTTAGAGGCAGCAACAACAGGAATGATAAAAGATTCCTGCCAAGGTGGCTGTTAACATCAATGTCTCTTTCCTCACCTTGTTTTGCACTTGCATCTATTAAACTAGTTGATGTGCTGCCTCAGCTGGCTGACAAACACATGGACATATGCAGCAACTTAAAAGCCTGCAAGCTTATTAATACAGTCAACAAACCAATATACAGAACTTTAACTGAGGAAAAAAAAAAAAGAAAATGAGAACCCAGAAGGTCCAAGAGGCTCAGCATGTCTCTGCATTTTAGAGTCTTGGAGCGACAGGAGACACCTGCCATTGATTCTTGTAACAGTTTCTTGTAACAGTAGATGCAAAGCAACAACAGATACTGGCCACTTTACTTGTGTTGTTCTTACTTTAGAGGGGAGGGGAAATTATACAGCCCTGCCTCAGTGTGGCATGAAGCAGTAATGTTACACTCTCAAAATCTCCAGGCAGTTGTTGTAGCAGATAGCTATCCAGTCTGGCTGAGTTGATGCCCACTGTACGTTGTTGATTTCTCCCTCTGCTGTATAGGCCAAGATAGGGTCCTCAATGGCACGAGGCATTTGCTGGATATCCCAGATGAGAGCCTGATGGTCATCCGCTGCAAACAGAAGAGAAAGTCATAAGGAGAAGCAAGGTACAAAGACATCTCCATACATGACTACTAACCAGCATCTAGTCCAAGAAGCTAGACAGGATATGGCTGCTGCAGTCCTGATGACTATTCAAGCCAGAGGTACAATGATACCACTACGCTCAAAAAAAATAAGTTTGGATCATTACACATTACCCAGCACAGAGTTGAAAAACAAATGATCAGTGGAACTCATATCAATTGAAGACATTTAAAAACTAGATTGCAAAAAACTAAGGAGCATTAACATAACACAGCTTAGCCACAGCAGATGCACAGTTTGGGCACTGGGCTCACTATTTCCACATAAGAAGCTCTAGCAGGTGCCTATTTCCACAAAAATTTTAGGATTTTAGGAAAGCCACTAATAAAGGGCTGTCAAATTGAAGGTATTCTTTAGCAAAAGGCAGGCAGAGAACTACATGAACTTTTGGAGAAGGGATTTTGCAAATTCAGTGAAAGACTCTCTGATTCACCAACGCAGCTGGATAGGTATGGATCACACTTACCTGCTGTACAAATGTGGCACGAAGAATGAGGTGCCCAAGCAATTCCATTTACACATGCTCTGTGGTTGTTTAACCTGGCAACAGGAGTGCAGGGAACTCTGACATCTAGAATCACAACCTTCAGGAAAAAAAAAAACAACCAACCACATTAATGACTTGCATTTTTTCAATTTGTTTCTTCAGAAAACCAAGTATTTTGAGCCAAGGCCATAAATACAGCCCTTTCCTAAAGGATGTGGTTGACAAGCAAACACTGCTCTCAAAGACTACTAATTACGACCAAGCCACCTCCCAAAAAATCACAACTGATAGCACCTACAGAAGACGAGCTGTCGCCTTACCTCCATGCCATCCATGGCCATTGTAGCAAGATAGTTGGGATCCTGCTTATTCCAGCAGAGACGCAGCAATGGATGGTGCTGTGGGTCCTCATAAATGATGGTGCTGTGTTCCAGATGACGGAGGTCAAACATCCTCACCGAGCCATCTGCACCAACTGAAGCGAACATATCTCTCCCACCACCTGCACGGCTAAATGCTATGTCATACACCTGCTCAGTAACAGGACAGGGAAAAACATAGGTTTAGTGAGCACGCTGACTCCTAATTTGCAGTAAAATGCATTTTACATATGGATAGCAGATCTAGTTGCAACATATTCTGTCAAATACTTGATGTTCCTAGCAAGTGTTTAGTTACTACATTTGCCAAAAGGAAGGGGCAAACACTTAACAGGGTTGTGTCATTACAGGATCATTCACTGAAACTAAACATACCAATCTCCCAGACTCAGATTTTTATATTAAATGCTGAAAAGTACCATTATGTTAAAATGAAAAAAATCTTGCAAGTTGTTTACTGCCTTTGATATGCAGTTGATTTCAATTCCAGTTTGAAGTTTTACCTCATTTTTCTAAAATATTCTGGAGCATAATCTAGTAAAACAAGCATATTTTCAAGTCCAGATTTTATGATGAGTAAATAGAGTGGTTCTGATGGCCAGAAGTATAGTTTTAGTTTGGAACTCATAACTGTGTATCTTAAACTTAGATAAATCATCTTTATGATCATTAGATTTTTCAAGAAAGAGGGGGAAAACACAACAGTTCTGTTCCTTTTCTACCGCTTTAAAATATGTAAAGAAAATAATCAAAAAAAGCCATCACCTCTTTGTCATGTGCAATAAGCTGGGTCTTCACATGACCAGAGACCAGATTTACTCTTCCCAGAACCTGCCCTGTCTCCAGACCCCAAATAGTGCAGGTTGTGTCAATACTAGAGGTACCTGAAACAAAACCACTTCTGTCAGCAAAATTAATACTCTCACAAATTATTTAATCACTTACTGGATTAATGTAATATCCTCTGACACGTACAGATCAAAATAGCTACAAGAACAGCATACAACGAAAACCAAGAATGTCAAACAGCTAACAGTCTGCCATGCATTTAAATGACCCAAACCTTTTCTCTGCAAAAATAGTCTTCCACACAGGAATAAAGTGTAAATAGCTCATGTCTACTTCAATCTATTCAGAAGCCTGATGCAATGCTGAGATGAACTTTTCCATCCTCTAAGTCTCATATACACGCCAAAATCAAAATTAAGTCACAGTGTTGCAACAGCGTGTTATTATTAATTGATTGTTTCTGTGGACTGAAGGTGGGGCTAGCAGTAAAGCTCTTAAGAGATGAGAGATGCAACACAAAAAATAAATCATGTGGTAAATAATTACTAAGACATATTATCACTGTTAATCTCTGGGCAAATCCCTGTGACATAAATGGCTGTACTCTTCTGGAAAACAAACCTCTGCTGGATCAGTCATGTTGGATTCACAATTTGTCCCATAGGCTACAATTAAACCTTAAGCATTCAGCCCCCTTCTCCAACTGAAATAAGGGCTCCTGGCTTTACTCCTGCTGCTGAAATGGCTTCACACACACACAAAAAAAAAGCTTGGCATTTAGTTTTCTGTCCACTCCAGAACACACTGAAATAATCAGAGTTCATTTACATCATTACTTAGCACTACAACAACAGCTCACCAGCCCTAAAGACTGACTCCCCATCTTCAAATAAGCAACACCTCTAATCCAACCTAAGTGACCCATTCTGTACTGGACAGGGCACCTTTCAACGCAAAAAAAGTCTCCATGAGCCACTCATTATTATTTCTGTTATTATTATTTTTAACCTAAGACAATGGCAGTTTCTATAATGCAGAAGTCTGTCCACTGGTTAGTTATTAAATTAACCAGTGAGATGCAATGACACAGCAGTAAGTCAGAGCCCAGACTGCACCAGACTAAATCCAAAAGCGTGTCTTTTCCATGCTGAAAATGTAGCATTTTGTCAGGCTCACCTAGAAGGTAAGGATCCACTTCATTCCAGTCAAATGATGTTAGTGGAGCACAGAAATCGGAGTTCTTGTTATTGTTCAGCAAACACTCCAGCCGGGTCTCTGTTTCACCCACCTTTAGAAAAAGGGAAACATCTGACTTAAATAGCACCATCACACGACTTGTTCCACTTGCACTTCCAACACATAAGGTGTTAATCCTGGGTTTCTCTCCTCTGAGCTTTACATCCTAAAGCTCTGGAAAACACAATCATCATCTCCATCTTCAGTAAAGTGATTAAAACAGCAACTACCATCATAATGCTGCTTCTCCTATAGCCTTCATATTTAGTCACATTATTGCAATTAATAAAACAAATTATCAAGTTCTCTGACTTGATTTTATTTCTTAACCTCCATACTGCAGCAAGGGCAAGACACCCTGAAAGGAAAATAACTCACTTCAGGAAATCTGGTCTTGAGGAAAAATGTGATCCATATGCAACACAGTTAATACCATGGTTGATCTTTTTTCAGGGTGGATTTACTCACTCTCCACACGCGCAGATAGTCACCACTGGTTGCCAACAGGTCTGGATACACTCCCTTGGTGTCTGGGATCCACATAAGCTTTGTGGTAGGGTAGGGGTGATCAAAGGTGTTCCTGCAAATGAATTCTGAGCTCTCTTCATCCAAACCAACAAGCTGCACCTATAAGAAGCCATACGTGAAAGAAAGCATTTTATCAGAATACTCATTTATAATTACAGCAATAAGACTGACTGCATTTCAGAAGGACACCTTCTGTAACCTCAAGGACAATATAAAGGGACCATCCTGTCAATGGAATGAGAAACCATTAAAGCTCTGCTACCTAGTGGGAGCACGTAAGCAAAGTGAAGTCTACGTAATCACCACAGCGCTTTACTTTGAGGAGATGATCTCAAATGAATTGAAATCTAATCCTAAAGGATTAAAGACCACCCTTCTCTTTTCCACATTGCAAAGCCTAGTTTAAATTACAGACTTTAACTTCACAAACATTATTCCAAGTCATCTTTAACTGAACTGATGCTCACAATGTTGTCTTCAGAGAGCAGGACAAGCTGTACTTTGCACAACAGCCACCCACAATTAAAGCCTGCATCATGGAGTTCTTGGCCATAACTCTGCAGATCGTGACAGATCATGTCAGCTAGCTATCAAGCTGTTTTCAGCATCACATTAACTAAAACTATCTGTCACAACTGCACAAAATTAAGGTACAGATTAATCACATCAGAGAGTCAGAAAGTCAAATAGAATTCAAACTTAAAGAACTGGGAAGGTGAAATATTTAAATAATTAGTCAAATGTTTTATGTGAAAAGGCCAAGAAAGCAGGTCTGATGACAGATTCTAGGTAACTGCATTCCAAATTAGGTTTTTTGCACAGTAATGAGACAGTGGGAAGGGCTAACTTGCCCAGTTGTGAGAGTGATGCAAGACAGAGCAGACAAGAAACTATCTCTGCACAGTTTGGCCATGACAGCACCTGAAGTAATGCTTGAATTCCCAGACATTATGTTATTAGAAAAATATTGACATGTCAGAAAGTAGTCAGAAAACAATATGGTGCTGGGAGGATATGTTTAACCTAGCAGTGATTACAAGACCTAAACCAGATGAAAGTCCCACTGTGTTAAATGCTACCCAGACACAAGCATTACGGAGACAACTCACCGCAATTAGTTTGTAAACTGCTCATGGTAGGAATTTCCTAGTACTTTCCACACAGCAGCTTCCTCTTGGAAACAGTGGCTTAATGGACGTTTCCCCCCCCCCAAGAAGTTTATCTGGAAAAATCCTAAATATTCTGGGATAAGCAATTTGGTTAATAAACTACACATTTAAACTAGACCAGAAAGCTACCCTATTTTTTTTCCACATAACAAAAAACCCCAACAAATGCTTCAGTGGATCTTAGACTATATCATTAGCAGCTATGAGTCCATTTAGAGATGCTCTTAAATGCAAATGTTGTCGTCCCCCCCACACTACAATGAGAAAATCCATGCTTTTCACTCCCTAACAAACCCTCAACAACATATCCAAGTATGCTTCTAAAAACTGTGTATTTTTCTGCCTTGCACTCTGTTACAGCTACTCCTTCGTATACTTCAGGCTCCAGTGTGAATCAGTCAGGACTCTCCCAGCCTTCTGAAGTGATTGACAAATAGCTTTCTAACTCCTTTAGGGATCAGAAATACTAAGCGGATTTCACAAAGGAAGCAAACTGTCCTTGGTGACAGCAAATCTTGTGGCAAGGTCAGGATCAGAAGACGAATGACCTCTCATCATTTCTTCTTTGCTTATGCTGTCTCCAGCTCAGTAGGAGTGTACTAAGCCTACACAAAGGAATCAACATACTCCTAACCAGGAGCAAATCTCAAAGAGCAGAGGACCAGCTTTCACTGGTGTAAATTTACATTATTCCTGCACTGCATACTCACGTTTAACCGCTCATCAGATCTGAAAAAAAAGCAACGACTGTGTAGCAACTCCATATCTTTGTGATCTTTGACATTTTTAGGTGCAAGCCAGGTTAGAGAACAAAAACTGTGTTAGCAACACTAGAGCTCCTGGCAACTGCTGAAGATCAGGTGTCTGACACTGATTGTCAGACCCGGCAGCAGCCTGTGATAACTCCGAGCAGGAGGCATTGGTCTGCCCGGAGACAGGAGCAGAAGCAGAAAATACTGCTTGAGAAGCTTGATTCTTTTCTAGCTCAGCATATTCAAAAATATGACTCTTCTCTTCGGACTTGATCACATACAGTGATTACAGAAACCCTCTATTCATCTTCTTGGGCAGGCTGAACACAAGGAGATGGAATGATGGAATTATTTTCAGGATGATCCTTCTATTAGAGCCCTGTCTCGCCCTCCTGCAAGTGAGGCAAGATTTGCTGCTGCCAGCTACTGCACGAAAGACTGCCTGAAATCCAGCCCTGATAAGACTGAGGTGATGCTAACAGGAAAGTAACTGCCAGTCAAGATACAATTGGAACCATTCGACATCTACCTGTAACTCATTCCAGTAGGAAAATGAGGACCAGTGTGCTTGATCTCCATTAGTTCTGCAATTATGCTATGACAGTAGCTAGGATGCTAAATAATTACGTTTCTACAATACATCAAGATATGCTGAAACTGGATGTGGATTTTCCTATCATAATCCAAGCCTTTACGAACATAAGGCTTAATTGCAACAGAGCACCCAAGTAAAGAACTGCCGTCAATCAGCATTCCTTAACTTCAAAAAAAAAACCCACTACATCTCTCTTCAACATGACCCAAAAGAATCAGACACAGAATTAAACAATGCAGAATTTGGTAACAGCTTACTTCTTTTTCTTGCATTTTCTGAGGAACAGTGAAGTGAGTTCACAGTACTTTAAAAAAACACCTACATTCCTTTAATCTAATTAGTAACTACCAAGAACGACATTTCACAATTACTTTAAGGTCATGTACAATCAGAAAGATCTCACTGCACCAATTAATCTTCAACATGCAATCAATTTTTCCTTGCAACTCTAAAACTTACAGATAAAATGACTCCCTAGTAAAACAACCACGCTGAACGCTCCCTGATTTGAGGCACTGTTGAGGAGGAGGTGGCAACCTGGGAAGCACATGGTCATAACCTGTCAGTCTGCTCCAGCGATGGGAGTGAGCAGCGTACAGCACCACTCTCTGCTGTTTTCTAAACTGGACTCCAGTTTTGTCTTGCAGACAGACCTCCCAAATCAGCCTTTCCCGATGTTTTCCACTGATTTTTCCTGATGCATGAAGCCATAGCCAGGAGCCTGCAGAACAGCATTAACAGTCAGATTCATGAACACCTCCCTTCCCTCCCATGACGCCAGTGATCCATAAGACATTATTAAGGCTGACAGCAGTTTCCTAATCCAAGAAGTTCAGAAAACACTACCCCAAATAATTTTAGTTCTTCCAACTGGAGCAAGTCACCTCTCTTCTTGTACCAGCGATTTGATCAGCAAAGGTGCACAAGCTGAAAAAAAACTCCTTTGGGGTTCTAACAGCTCTTGGCAACTAGCTTTCTGATATGCTACACAGCTTGTTAGCGTGGGGGTTGACAGAGGTTACAGTCTGGGAACTGGGGACAGCAGTAAATTACGGTTTGGCAGTCAATAGATTTGAGTTCCCTGTGAAACAGAGGTGTAAACAGTCATTTCATATTTGTAACCCGTAAGTACTTCAAGCTCTGGTAATTACTACAGAAACAGAAAATCAGAGACGAATGAGACAAGAATCTCTCCTCTTTCTTTCACTGTAATTCAGTTACAGTGAGCACTTCTGCTGCAACAAACACGTGGTGCATTAAGTCTCTTTAAAAGCACCTTTTTAAAAGAAACCCTAAAACAACAGAGTAATAAGGAAAAGGTATATTCACCTATTTGGTTAGATTTTAAGCAAGCTAGAATTGCTTTTCCAGACTATTTTGGTTTTTTTCCCCTCTGTATTAAGGGCAAGGAAGAAAGCCAGTTATTTGGAAAAAGACATTGCAACATCAGGAACACAAACGTTGTTTGGAGCTTGTCAGAAACATCTAAGATTATGAGTGCAAAGAGAAAGCTGGAGTGAAAATGAGTTTTCATTATCCTTGTAATTAGTGCCAACTGTACCTATAAGTGTGTTTTGATGTCAGAAGCTGACAATACAAAACATCTCAACTGTGAAGGGCAAATTATGCAGGACAGAGCTTTCCATACATGCCCACTAAAAATCTTAGATTTCTGCTTACCACAGAAGTCAGGCTATAAAACCAACTGCTCCAGGCCCTTTGCAGCACAATGTTACAGACTACTCAAACAGGGTAACTTCAGTCCTTTCCTTTTGTTCCTTTAGTTATACCACTTACATGGATAGAAGCTGGAGCTGAAAGATTTTACAACTAGCGTGCACATAGCACAACCGTACAGTATCTGTCCAAGAGTTCCCAATCTGGAGCATCAAGCTGTTCCCTGAGTGTTTCAGTATCCTCTAAAAGATTCAGCAAAGCTCAGAGAGTCACAGAAAGACGCCACAAGGACAGTGCAGATGAAAACACCACTCCCAAGCTTGTTCTGGTCCCCAAAGCAAAGGGGACAACATCAATACTCTAAGCAGTAACAACGCTTGTAATTACCCAAGACAGCTCTCTGTTCACTATCTTCCTACAGCGGAAGGCTGTACTGAAAGCACTACAAAAAGCATCAAACAAGAAAACCACAAAAAACCCCACTGCTCAGAGACACAGCAAAAACGCTCAGCAAAGTGGAGGTTATGTTCCACTGCATTTATTGTACAGATTTAATTTTTAATCACACATCATCTTTATTTCTACAGCAGCAGCATCCAGACTGGCATCTCATTCTCATACAATTAGTTCCCAGCTCTTTAGACCACATAGGTCTCATAGCATGTGGTGCTTATATGGACTGAAGTCAACAGAAGAGTTATTCTCAAAGCTCAGAGGTCAGGAGAAGCCCTGGGGAATATTTACAGACAGCAGTAATTTACATAAACCTACACAATTTCTGTCTGCAACAACTGTGACTGTAAAGGGTAGAGAAGAGAGGGATTGACTCCACTGCTTTAGACTTGAAGCCCAAACTGAAAAGCAGACCTGATCACGCTGTAATTGAGAGCAACCCCACAGAATGGCCCAAACTTATGAAGGTGAAGGCAACATAAATGTATACTCCCTTACTACCTAAGTCCACCACCTCTAAACAAAAACTTGTTTGCAAGTTTATTATTTTAGCTTCTCTGAGGACAGACTACAAAAACTTTTTCAAGTTGGTCTTTAAACAAATGAAAGGTTTTCCAGCTCAGGGACCTGCCCTTCCCCAGCAGCTGTCCCAGAACCACAACAGTGCTCACCAGCATAAGGAGACAACTTGAACGCAGCCAACTCATATCATCCGAACCACAGCGTGCTCAGAAGTATAATGTCTAGGACTGCCACAAGAGCAGCAATTTAACCACTGTAAAAGCTGTCATCCCTGCCTTACCACCACCCCCTCTCTCACTACATCCTTGCACCAAGCCCAAGGCCCAACACCAACTTTCCGACATTATTTCCGCAACCCCCATTGAACAGCTTGACAAAGCTACAAAGGACACACACTATAAACACACAAAGGTGTATTTGAAAAATCTTAGTTTCCCACAAACTTCAAGATGCTCTTCAGCTATGCCCATCTCCTCATCTCTCTTCCATTTATATGAATTCATTATACCAGACTAGCACATTAAAGTCCGTTCAGAAATGACTGCACAAATGTTTGGAGAGGTGAACACGTAGTCTTTATCACCAGTGTAAGGTTCTCTGCTTGCATCTCCTTGGAAACACTAAAGATATAATCTCACGCCTCATTACACCCTTGTTCTCAGAGAAAAGTAAAGCTACTGAGGAATCGGTGAACGCGCTTTATATACTTATGAAGAAAGTTATCACTCGGCAGTCCTCCACAGCAAGAAAGTGTAATGAGAACAGCACAACATCCCCGACAGCCTCAGACACCCCACACAGGTGCAAACTTCAGTCCTGGCCATAAACTTCCCTCCCTACTGAACACAGGCCAGCTGTGCTCAAGCGAGGGGACCCTCCCGGCTGAGGAGCAGCACCCACGGGCTCTGCCCGACCCCAGTCTCTGTCTCCCAGCGCTGAGGACCCGCAGCGAGGAAACCA